AAGTGCATTAAGATGGCACAGCTTCCTCTCACTTACAGATGCCTTATGTAAGAAATAAGGAAGAATAAGAAGGCCTTTCCATGGTCCATGTGCAGAAGATGGGAAAAGTGTGGGTTGCAACATCATAAAACAAATGGAGGCAACCCAAAGCAGCCAAAGAAAGTGGAAGTCCCCTTTGCTCCTTCTACCTGCAGAAAATTAAACTGTTGCCAAGAGGGGTCTATCTTTTATAGATCTATAATTCATCATGTTTTATGAAGGGAAGACTCATATTTGGAGACTGTATGTTGTCATTAACCAATGCTGAAGTTCACATAAATGTCAGGCAGACTCAACACAAGACCAGTTGTAGGATTTTTGTTGTTAAGATTCTGACTGCAGCTTTAACAAATCTTGCTTTTGGCCATCTCTTTGCCTTTCACTTTCTGTTAATCTGTACTTAAAACTAAAAGTCACCGTGTCATACATAAAGTGTTGTGTAGGCACTACAGCAACTACAAAATACGAAATAGCTGTTCACTTCTTCATTCTGAAACTGGAGAGAGGTACATGGAAACCCCTGCGCTAGTTGAAGCGCAGGAAATAGATGCGCCTTTTCTTCCTGCACTTCTAAAGACACTGTTCTTTCAGTTGCAGGTGGAAGTTACAATGGATAATAGATAACAAACAGGACTCCCATTCTTGGCACTCAGTCAATTAAAAGAGATACCAATTGCATCCTGCAAATATTCCCATGGTGCCAAACCATCAGAGGAGTTGGCGAGTAGGAGGAGTGAAGGTGTGATAATTGAAGGAATTGCTACTTGAGAAGTCACAGGAGCTAATGTGTTAGCTCAGCATGCGGGCAAGCTAGGACGTTCCCAGCTGCTGCAAAAACTGGGTGGATGCAATCCCTGGCATCACTCGTTGGGACAAGATGAATCACAAGCGCTTCGGTAGCGAGCTACCATGTCACAGTGAGCCAGATGGAGGTGGTTACTTCCCTGATTGATTGCCTCTTGGGCTACACCAAGGGCTTTTCCAGCAGGCTAATGCCTTTCTGTTGGCACTCAGTGTGTCCGCTTGGGTCAGCGACGTGCAGGAATTCCTGCCTTTTGGGCACGTAGCTGTCCCACAGATGGAGAAGGAAGTAAATAAGGAGCAAGGGGGAGCGGGTGACTCCAATGCACACTGAAATAGCACCGACTTCTGATGCCTCCCTAATAGGCGTTGCTGCTAATGAATTTTCTGGCACGTGCTGAGTTAACAGGGGTGAGCCACACTGAAACATCTTTTAGTTAAACCCAGTGCTTTACAAAGGCTAATTGAAAAAGCAAGGAGCAGCAGGGGTGGGGTGGGGTGGGGTGGGGGAGAACAAGGCAGAAGAGGGGGTGGAGGGAGAGAACAGCTCTATTTTTCAAGAGCTGAATATGAAATCCTGCAACAGATGAGTTTACATGCAAGCCTGCACCTCATCAGGGCAAAGATACAGTGAGTGGAGTCAAGTAATTTTCCTCTGCACACATCATCCCCAGCCCCTTACCCTGCCCAGCCAGCTTTCTCAACTGTGAGCTTTAGAATATAAACAGCCAATAAGTAAGGACAATAACTGTAGTTCCTGCTGAGAGCTAACTCTGCCTGTCATGCATTTGCTGGGTCCTAATACAGGACAGTGAATAAAGCTTCATTACAGAACAATGGAGTTAGCTGCCAGAGCCTACAGATTTGAATAAACAACAAATAAGCAACATCTGCTCCAGCATATGTGTATGGTAAAAAAAAAAGTCACAAAATAAAAGAATTTGTAAATGCCAAAAGCAACACTAAACTGCCAGTGCTACTGTAGAGTGAATTTTTAATTGCACATGCATACAGGCAGGCTGTGGGTATTAGTCTCACATATGTCTGGTTGCTGCCAACCTGGGAGTATAGATGAATTTAATTAAATAAGGATTATCCCTTCTCCCCAGTACAATTACTTATTTATAACAATGATAAAATTGCCTAATAAAAAAGATTGTAATATTTTTTAAAACAGAGCTAGAAAACACTCTGCTTCCCCTGTAAGTCATTCGGAGATGTTTGGGGGTTTCAGAGTCTTTTAAAATTAAGTCTCAGCATTCTGCCAAGAGAGAGGGGAAAAAAAGCCTTATCATAAAGCCTACTGCAGTTAAACAGCCAGAATCTACATTATGGAGAAATATAAAGAAGACACACAGCAGCCAGGGAATTGGCTTTCATGGGGAGTGTAGAAAATTAAGCAATTGGACTAAAATTGAGGCCAGGCTACAGAGCCAAGGGACAATACCACTGGGAAAAGCTCTTCCATAAGTCACTCGTCCCTAATATGCTCCATCTAGGCAAAGCAGTCTGTTCCTATTGATCTCTATTTCTTCTTAAAGGGAGAACCTTGCACTTTCCTGCTCAGGTGAGCTCCCATTTCAGCAGGGTCACGTCAGGCTCTCACATCTTCATCTTCACTCACACCCTTTCCAACAGAGCCCACAACTAAATGAGAATGGGCCCTTATGGTATCAGGCACTGCATGAGCCTTAAAAAATAGGCAGCTTGTGCCCAAGGGAATGTGGAGGCCAAACCCTAAATTCAGACATGATCTCCTGGGAGCTGAAGTTTGCCTTGTATGGACTCTGTTTCCCACTCATGCCTATTTTGAGGACCCCTACTTATGGGTCTGAGACACATTCTGCTGAATTTGATAGGAACCTTCTTAAGAGAGAGGTATTGTTCACTACCAACAATACCACGTTCACAGATGGCCATTTTTAGACTGTTTCCATGATGCAGAGCAAGTGAAATTGCAACAAAGCTCCCATGGGTCTGGAGGAGGGCACCATTTAAGAGCAGTGGGAAAAAGAGACAGAATATGGAAAAAAAACCTGTAAAAACCAGCCGGAAATCTCCACTTTAAATTTAGGCCAAGCATTAATGACACTAAGACAACAGAGAAAGAGAGAGAGGGGGACGGAGAAATATTCCAGCGCTTAAGCAAAACTCTGAAATAGAATTATGGTTCTGCAAAGGCATAAACCTTACAAAAGTTTAGTTGACTTGTATGACTTTGACTGACCACTTTCGTGGATTATAGTCTTATCAGAATTCAAACCAAATAATTACTTTCAGTGTTGTCTGTCATGAAATTACTGCTAAATACATGCTTATTCCTGTGTCTTAAAAGAGTATTCAGGGCACATACTTATTTTTTCCTCCTTACATTGTGATTGCTATACCTATATAGTCCATTAAATCCTTTAACTTATGCCCTTCATCATTAAGTAGCAAAGCCATGTTTTAGAGATGGACAAAGAAAGGAAAAAAGAAGCATTTGTGGGTACGTTATTACATTTTTATTTTTTTTCCCTACTGATCTATGTCCACATTCTCCTTTTTTTTAATTTCTCACTGAATGTTTGTCCAAATGGTGTTTTTCAGTGCACCAGTCCTGGGGAATTGCTATTCTTTGTATAGATACTGCTATGAGCATACTGATATGGGGGCTTGTCTTTGTTCAAGAAGATCAAGACATCAATCAGAAAATAAAATCAAAATAACCCCATGGTACTCAGGTGACAAATCATACAGTCTGAATAACAACAAGGACCTGACATTAAGCCCCAAAAGTCACTGGAGCCACACATAGACAGACTGAACGCATACAGCCCTGCCAGAAGATATGGCAAGAACAGCTGAATGTCATAGGTATGCAATCTATTACACAGTTAAAAAGCCCCGTAGCAGAGCAGCAAATGTATGCTTACAGGTCATGTGAAAACAAAAATAAGCCCTTCGGAACTAAGGAATTCTTCCTTTACTCCATCACCTTTACTTGGCTCTAGGATTTACTAAGAAACCCCACACACAGTGTTTAGATGAAAACACTGGCCTCACTGAAGTCAGTAGGACTTATGCCACTGCCTTCAACAGGCTCATGATATCACTCCTGCAATGGCACTCCAGCCAATGGCATCTGTTAATGACCAGCGTCAGTGGATATCTGAGTTGTTTTTTTAGATACCTGTGTATGAACTTGGGTTGTTTAATTATCTGTGCTGGTTCCCCTAAAGTAATACAATGTAGTCCCCAGAAAGTGAGGCTCATCAAACTTTCACCCTTGTTGCTCTCTATCTTGTTCTTGCTATTCATTAGTTCTTTCACATGAAGTTTCTGTACCATTAAAAAAGATAATAATAACCCTCTCCACCCCCCCATGCCAGTCCTGCTTTAAGCACTGGTTAACAAGGGTCTCTAGAGATCAAGGCTGAGTGCTCCCTGCTCTGGAGGCTGAACAGCCATTTCCCCAATATTGCCACCACTGACAGCAAAAGCTACTCAGGATCCAAACTCAAATTGCCCCAAATGACAGTATAACATCTGGTCTAACAGCTTTGCTCTTAATCCTTTCATAGACTCCTCAAATCACTTATTTTCTAGCACGATTCAGTGCTATGTCAGCTCATGGGGTGATAGTCTATGTAATATTGGATACTCAGGTAACGGGATAGAGGCCATGCTGACACCACAACTACCTGTTTGCATGGTCCTGGTTGAGCTGGGTACAGAGCAGTTGCAGAGCCACTGTCTCCAGTCTCTTGGTTGACTCGATAATTTCCTAGGGGTCTGAGACCTGGCAGATGAAGGGTCATCTGAATCTGACAACTAATTCACCAAGCAGGAGCAAAGCTTTAGTATTGCTTGGAAAAGTAGAAAGCTCTGCTTATAGCATCAGACAGGGACACCACACACTCAAAGCTGTGCATGCGAGGTACCTTTTCATGTGCACTCATTGTGTCTGCCTGACAAGCTGAGTATATTTTACACCCCTATGATTTATCTGGTCATATCATCATTATTCTAGACTGCCACATCTAGAGTAATACATCCAAATGCCAGAGATCAAGGGAGCAGAGGGAAAATGTATTGTTTGGTTAAATTTTAGAAGCAGCTACATGGGAACAGTGTTTTAAAAACAAAACTGGCCAAACTGTCTGTTTCTTAACACTCACCTAAAGCGATGGCAGGAGCATTTCCATACAGCATTTCATCCTCGAAACTCTGAATCTGAAAAGGAAGAGAGGAGGAACAATTTTTAATGATGGTAATGATTATGCCTTATTATGAGGGGGGGTAGGACTAAAAACAGGAAAAAAAAATCTCTACATTTCCATGTGAAAATGTAAAATCTTTCAGATGATTCTTTTTTGGTTGCTTCCTCTTTAAAGTATTGTTCTTGTCATAAACCACACTCTAGTCTCAGAACCTTTCCAAGCCTTGCTCAAAGTCATCAATACATGAAGGTTCCCAACATGTAAATACACTGACAATCTTGTTTGAACAGCCTCAAAGAAATATCCCTAGGAAAAAAAAAAATTACTTACTAGAAGGAACCCAAGGAAATGTAACCATATGGAAGCAAATTCTTGCCAGAGAGTGCATGTAAGGTTGGGATTTCTTTTTGCTCTAGGAACGAAGACCCATTTGACTTTTTCATAGTATCAAGGGAACATCTTGTCACTGTGCTGCATAAACTCCTTCAGAAAAATGCTTAATAGAAAAGGGAACCTTATAGATACAAGTAACACATGAACACACATGTTGTGTAGCTCAAGAGATCTCTAAACCCCTCATTGTCAAAAGCTACAACAATACAAGAGAAGGATTGCACTATATGTGCCCCATACATCTCCTACTGGCCATTGCCTGGCTAACAGTTTAGGTGGCCTGATTGTTTCAGTCATTATACTGTTCTTACAGCCTTAACTTAACTATGTGGTAGAGGACACTCAGAAGTCAAACAATATACACCCTGTCTAATTTGAGCATACAGCATTCACCAAATTGTCTTGCACATCAAACTGTTTATGTTCATCAGCATTTACTGCTCAGTCAATGTCCTCACATTTGTGTGAGCCTCTACTCACAGAGCTGCGAGTCATAGAATCATAGAATAGTTGGGTTGTAAAGGACCTTAAGATCACCTCACATCAAACCATGTCACCCAAGGCTCTGTCCAACTTGGCCTTGAACACTGCCAGGGATGGAGCATTCACAACTCCCTTGGGCAACCCATTCCAGTGCCTCACCACCCTTACAGTAAAGAACTTCCTCCTTACATCCAATCTAAAAAACTTCCCCCGTTTAAGTTCTAACCCATTACCCCTTGTCCTATCACTACAGTCCCTAATGAAGAGTCCCTCTCCAGCATCCCTATAGGCCCCCTTCAGATACTGGAAGGCTTCTATGAGGTCTCCATGCAGCCTTCTCTTCTCCAGGCTGAACAGCCCCAACTTCCTCAGCCTGCCTTCATATGGGAGGTGCTCCAGTCCCCTGATCATCCTCGTGGCCCTTCTCTGGACTTGTTCCAACAGTTCCATGTCCTTTTTATGTTGAGGACACCAGAACTGCTCACAATATTCCAAGTGAGGTCTTCAGCATGTTAAGTGCTATACAGAGACATATGGGCTGCTCTGAGACTATAAATTTACTGTGCTGGACCTCTCTGAAAGACACCCTCTTCCCCACGGAGGCTGACAATCAGGCCCATGCTGATTCTTGAGTCTGAAAGCTGCACCAAACCTTTCACAGAAAAACACAAAAGACACCTTTGGAAGGACTTGGAAAGAAATATTCTTTCCTCAGGAAGAATGCCATCTTAACCTGACCTTTTCCAAAGCTTTAAGGAATTGAAAACTTTTTTAAACCTCCCACCTTTTCCTGTCACTTGCTGCTCTCTCTTTCCTTTCCTTCCTCCCTTCTCTTTTCTCCTTTCCTCCCTCCCTCTCATTCTCCACATATTTTCAGGGGATCTTCAACCATTCCATTTCTCCTCCTTTCTTTGATTCTTACAGTAGAGCCTAGTTTTTGGACTCCTTCCTTTTCCTTGCTCTTGAAGGATGGCTGGAAAAGCATTAGTATCCCTGTTGGCATCCCAGTGGAGTCTGTATGATTGGAGAGTATCCTGTCATTGCCCTTTTTCTGCAGTATATGGCCAGAAAAACTGCTGCTCATATAACAACTCTGGAAGTAAGAAAGAGACTGGCAAGTATCTTGGTCTCTGCTACTTCATGTTGAACACCCACTGACAGCCCACTGCTGCTAAAACATACAGGGAGCTGAGTATCATGGACTTCACAGACTGGATATGTGAACAAGCTGCTGTTCTGAGTTATTCTGGTTCTAAGATGCTCAGCTTACAGAGCGATAAAGTATTTCAAACACTGCTAGAAAATCAAGGCTAATCTTGTGACGAAACTTTCTGAAAGAGCATACCAGAAAATGAGCTGAGGGGATGAAAAAAAGATAGGGAAAAAAACCCCAAACCTGGTTAATGATTGGATCTATAAAACATATCCTTTACCATATGTATTAGTGTTCCTGCAACCTCTTTCTATTGAAAAAAACCACCAACCTAGCAGTACATAAAACACATTGGCATCTTCACACTATCATACTGGTTGAACGAATCCTATCTCAGTAACTTCAGCGCCAGCTTCTTTGACAGTCTCCTAACACAAAGACAATTTAAACTAATCAAAACCCCAATGAGCAGTGTAAATCCTACTGCTTTTTCCCATAGTGCTGCTTCATGGTGCTTGTTGAAAATAACTTAGCTTCTGTCCTCAAAAAGAGAATCCAAACTTACACCGTAAATATGGGTAGTGATACTTTGCTAGCACAGTACACCTCACCTCTTCCATTTCAAATGAGTCTGGCAGCTTGCAGTTCAGGTTGGCCACTTTTTTAAGTGTGTGGGCTACAAGCAAAGGTGGCTCTTTTCTTGGCCTGTCTTTAGCAGGTACCTCAGACACAGGAGAAAGGTGGAGCGGTTTTGCAACTAGCTGTGATGGAGCCCAGGCTTTCCCTGATGGAGCCAGTGAACGCTGGCATGTGGGATATGCTGAGGCACCTTTGTCTCTGGGAGTTTGCCCCTTGGTCAGACAGTTTAATGTAACACGTGCAGAAGAGTATGCCTGGACTGTTCCCCTCTCAGCAGTATCTGCACTAGAGCAGGGTTGCTCTTTCCTGCTGGGCAAGTTGGCTTCTCCAGGTGCCAGTGAGCCCTGTTTCAGCAGCAGCGTCTGCCGAGAAGCCCTTTTCAGGAGCTGTCCTATTCTTCTCCGTTTCGCTTGTGTCACCACAGGTCTGCTCCTCGTAGTATCCAGGAGATTGGCCTGCTGGGTATTGATGCCGGTCAGCAGCGATGAGAGTGCACTCGTTACATGGTCAAGTACTTCCAGCTGTCGAAAACGTTCTTAAGTTTGGCAGAATGGAAGGCAACATGGTTATTTAAAGGTGTAATTTGAAATAATCAGGTACAATGATTATCAAACTTGTCATTGCCAAGAAACATAACAAGTACCTCATTCAAAAGTGCCTAAATTTTTCCATTTGCTTCCAGAGGATCCATTCAGGCTACATACAGACGTCACTGCATAGTTCTTTTTATTAGGCAAACACACAACATTGAATTTGTTGGGTCAAGTGCAGCTGAATGCTGTTTTGTGTGAATAAAGGTTACAGAATCCAGCCTGAAATTCTCTGCTTGGCTGGGCCAGACTTGGATGCTGGTTTTTGAGGACTTATTAAAATTCATGTGAATAAAGTTATTAAAATCTGATCTCCAATGTTTACAGCTGGCACCTGTCCAGGATAACTGCAAAATGCATATAGGCATTAACTGACAAAAATTGACCACAGAAGCTGTGTTCCTGATTTCATAACAGCACAAAGCAAAACCCTTATCCCCCAGAAACTCATAGCCAATGTTGAATAAAGGTTCCCAGATTCTTTTCACTGTACCACCCTCCTGTAATTTCAGGGTCATTTTTTAAAATGGCATAACATCTAAAGAGAAGAAAATCTTTTTTTCTCTAAGGGATGCAGAGATTTCCATCACTAAAACATTATGAAGTTATTTATACAAAGAAACACAATGCATTTGGTTGCATGGTGTTTTTGTACCTGTCCTGAGGCAATGACCATGTCACCAGGACTCCTCCTTCCTTGAGCGATTCATTGAGGACAGTAGATGGCAAAAGCTAACTTTCTTGGCTGCCATTTCTCTTAGAGAGCAGCCAAATTTACTGCATGCAGTCTGCATGCAGGCTGTTTCTAATGCTGCTTCACTGACAATTGGACAACAAGGGGATATTTAACATGGATCTGAGCTGGTGCTTTGCTTTGGGGACCAATACTGTGACGTATATCTCCTGATATCTACTATATCTCAGGAATATTCCTTTTTGTCTCTGTCCCAGACATTGCCTGATTTGTAACACTGAAGGAAAATATGGCTGCTTTTTAAGATATACAGGCAAAGGTCTCACCTGATATGGCTTAAAGGAGATACACACAGTGCTGTGTAGTTTCCATTTGCATAAATTTGGGGCATCAGACTAAGCAATTTTGGGTTTTGTACATTCATGTTGCTACCATATGCTTTCTGTGTAAAGCACATTTTATCCTCAGTATTTCATCTGGTTCCCACTACATCAGGCCATAAAAATGCAAAATGCTAATCTCCTTTGACTGACGGTGGCACAGCAGTCCAGTCCTTCTTTGGGCTTGAACCAGAACCAGATTTGCTGCAATTTGAAATAGTTTTTACACACTGTTTAGCTTTTGTGAGTCATTTCAAAGAGCTTGGGACACCTAAAGAACCAATCAAGCTACACCAGACATAGTAAATGAACAACAGAAAAAAATCCCATTGCTCACGTGAACTGTAATAAATACATGGGTCAAAAGAAATGATGTCAGGGGCAGCCTTGCTCCGTGGACTGTTTCCCTCCAGGCAAGCAGTCCCTTCAGTTTTTAGGTGTGCTCTCCAAGGATCATTTCTCAAATAGGCAAGAGGCTGGTAAGATTTCTTTAGTCCTTGCAGACCAGTCTAAAACTGTAGCACAGATGACATACTAAAGGACGTAAATGAGGATTTATTTTCACCAGAAACTTCAGCCAAAAATGCAAATGGCCATGCTGTAAAAATGATCAATGAATTTTCAATAGAATCTATGTATTTTATAGGGCTTCTAATGACTTTACGATCAACCACTTTATAATACAGGAAGAGAAGCTCACCATTTTGCTCCTCCTACCTTAAATGTATAACATTACATAGGCTAATGTAGTAATATCCATGGAAGAGTTGAAAAGTCTTCAGTAGGCCCACAGTGCAGTGAAATAATGTAGAGCACTGCCAAAGCCAGCAGGAAATTTTCAATCAAGATCTTTTTTGAACAGCAAATGGCAGACTTTGGAGAAAAAAAAAACAAACCCAAAGCTTTCAGCGGGGAAATCAAGAATTGCTCTTTCTCCTCAGGAAAAGGAAAAATGAAATGTCAGCAGTGTCTACTTTGTCGTACGTTAAAATATTTTTCCTTTATTTTTTAGACTGTTTCAGCTTGAGTCCTGGCAATACTGAATCAAAGCCTGAATTGAAGCTGTACTTCAGAGAATGCATTTAGCAATTTACATTTAATTTTTCTTCTAGGGCTGTATTTACAGGCTGACGTATGTATCTTCTTGACATACAGGCTTCTGTATATATTTGTGACCTGTGCTTGTCACGGCAGAACCATGTATCATGGGAAATGGTGTCTACCTAGTACACTCATCTCACAGAGGAGAGTGAGACTTGAACTACAGCTCCAGTGAGGGGCTTGCAGCAGTTAGTCAGAAATGAGTTTGAAAATGAGTGTGAAAAATCCACTGGAACAAGACACCAAACACAACATAGATTTAGATATGGCAGTAAGAACAGGTGGCACTGAAATGTGGTGGGGTTTCATATTATTAAGTGTCAGATTGAAACATTTCAACATTTCTGAACTAAGGCATTCAGAAACTTGAAGTTTTCAAAGAATTTGGGGAGCAATATATTCAGAAGCATAACTACTTTTCACTTGAGACCATTTCTGATTGTCAAGAGGCTACTTCCTCAGCTGAGAAGTCAAATATCACTTCTAATGAGGTCAGCAACATTTTCTCAGCTGGCTAAAGATTGAGATAAACTTTTCTTTTGGACCTGGCTGAGAAACTGAAAGGGTGATCGATGTTTTTGAAAATGCACCTTAGTCTTGTGAATGAAACCTTTTAAAAACCCTCTCTGACAATGGTGGAGAAACAGAACTAAGTGAGGGAACAATGTAACTCTATAACAATCCACATGTATTTTAAAAGGTCTAATCAGCAGTAAAGGAGGCCTAGAAAACTATATTCAGCTGCAGGGAAGAGCCAGACATAAAAAGGCTGCACTGGGAAATGAATTAAATATGAAAGCGGAGAGGGAACACCCTGCTATGGAAGTCCTTGGTTTCTCTCACCTCTCTCTCCTTCTTTCTTTCAGGTTTCTTGTCTTCCATACTGTAACTATAATCTTTCTCCTTGTTTCTCACTTTCTCAGAATAACACATTGCACCAAATCAATTAAGTTTCTCTGCTGATTCAGAGAACAGGAGAAAGTAAACAGACAATGAGATAACCTCTCAGATATTCACTAACTCAGATTAAACAATTTCTTCGTTTTCCATGGCTAGAGACAAATGGGAGGGATTCAGACTGTATTTACATTGAAATGGCTCAGTGGTAATAAACTTAACAGGGTGACAATAACTGAGTTCATTCAGCACATCTCTGGGAACAGTCATTCAATGCAGTCTTGGAATCTCTACAGGTGGTGCATGGTCTGCCTCATTTTGGCACTTTCATTCCAATGCCCTGGTGAAGAAGTCCTCCAACAGTAAGGAATCTGGAGTTCCCTTATTTGTTCACGGAGAGGTAAATGCCAACGGACATCTCTAGAATTGAACCTTCTACTGAAGGTCTTTTTTCCGAGGCATCTTCTGGAGACCTTCAAAAGCACCTGTTCTCCTCATTGCCATTACAAGACAATGTAGGCATCTACCTGAAAATACAGGTGCAGTTTTAGGACTGAAGACAGATAGATTAGGTCTCACTCTAAGATGCAATCCATTTTAAAATCTAATAAACATGAATTTGCCACTCACTCCTTCTTGCTAGGCATCATTGAAAAATCATTAGACAAACTAAGGTTGGCAAGATTGAAATAAACCCCAACATTCTGAAAACAAATGTCTTTTGAGGATATTCCTGATACATCCCTTTTTAGCTGTAAGTCCTCTCCTGGAACACCGGCTATAGGAAGGTACTTGTGCAAGATTACCTCCATGGTCACTGAGACAGACTGGCTTCTTCTGAGAGGTGTTTTAAGTGGTATCTGGATGATCACCTGCAGGAGTTGGCTGACTCTCTTCACTGGCTATGGGGAGAGATAGACTTCACAGTGACTAAGCCCCTTGAGATGATGCTTCAGCTAAATGGCTATAATATGGTACAATGAACCAGGCTTATGTTAATCACCACATATACGGAAAGATAGCAAAAAAAGAGAAGAGGTAAGTATTCCTGAAGGATCAGTTCCACCTCTCTGGATCTGATGTTCTCAGCCCAGGCACATACTTTGGAGGCCTAAGCAGATGGTGTGAAAATCCCCTCCCAAACTGTCAAAAGCAAGATAATATGTTTTGATGGACATCACACCCACCAAAACAGAAATTCAGATCCTATCTTACTTCACAGCAACTCCCCCGTACAGATAAGATATTAGCATGTACTAAGAGAGCTCCCATTGAGGATGACTGCAGGACGAGTCATTAAATTCACACCTTGGCTTACCACTGCCTGGCTTCAACGCCTTCCCTCAGAGGCTCTTCCTCTTGCTTTCATTCCCTTCTAGTTCTCTACCTTCTTCCCTGAGGTCTCCATCCATTATCCATTCACACTGATTATCTCTGATCCCTCTCTCTCTGTCTCAGAGGAGTTGCAGAGAGAAGAAGAGTGAGAGCAGAGAAACCTGTTTGATGTGTCAGTTTGCTGTAAATATTGAAATGTGTGCACGGAGCTTGCTATAAAAAAAAAGAGAGGAAGAGAGAAAAACACATTTTCCACAATGCTCTGACATTTCTGTTTCAATTCTTATTCCATCCATATTGCTTTCTTGGTGTAATTCTAAATGGGAATGCATGGGCTACGTGAGAGATCCTGCTTTGCTGAGCATCTTAAGTAAACAGAAGATTTCAAGAGCCATCTGGCTATACTGTGCAACAAACATGAGGGGAAATGATGTCAAAATTGGACTTTTCAGGTTGGTGATACACCAGCGAAATAACTATGCTGTTTTAATGCAGATATGTCTTTAAGCTGAGGACCTTGTATTCATTTTTCAACTGCAAAATACACAAAAAGAGAACAAAACCCATCTAAATGAATAAAAGACTGTGTGTTTTAAATGGTGAAATTTTATAGGACTTAAAATATGATCCTCATGTATATCTTAGGGCATATTTGAACCACAAAACTGTAGGTTCTATGTAGAGATTTGTGGGTCTGATGCACAAGCTTTGGCAGCTCTAGTCATGGGAAGTTAAGGTCTTATCTGCTCTGTGCATTTCCCTGTGAGAAGGGTCCTGTGCCCAGCAAGGGGAAAGGCCTGGCTGAATTCAAAATCCACTATATTGGCTTACACCACCAGTGATGATGGGTACACACTAACGTGCTGCCAGTGAAGTGGCTGAGGCAATGAGCTCATGTTCAATTCTTCAGCCGCTGGGACATCAGTGACAATCTCTGGTGGTGGGGTGTGTTTTACAGGGAATAGGCAGTTATGCTTTAAAATGCCACAAGCTGGTAGCTTCAGCACATAAATCAGAGCCCACAGCTAAGGAGAGCTACACAATATTTCTGTCGTATTAGGAAGTACCATTGCCAGAGAGGGGTACATGAGGATCCTCAATGTTTCCTGAATACATGCTCCTTTTTCACATTTTTTTTTTTCAGAAAACTCTAGCAGTTTCCATGCTATTTATGGTTAAAAATTCTCCTTTTCCAAAATGTCTTCCCTTACCATATAGGTTTGGCCTCTCAATGTCCATCCGCTGCTTCTGAGCTTCCAAGAACACTCGGATGTTGATCCCTTTTGCTACAGAAGCACCACTGAGGAACCGAGGAGGGATTTTAGTGCAGACGTCAGGTTCTTCTGTACCAAAGCCCAAATCAAGCAGAATCTCCACTGGATCCTTTTCCCAGAGTGTCAGCCATTCAGTGATGCTGCGGTGAAAACATTGGGATTATTTACACCACTGTTTTGGTACCACTTTTCTCTTGCAGAGTCTATAATATGGTCTCACTTTTATTAAATTATTATCTTCCCTTCTTATCTCTTCTTGTGGATACTTCTGCTTAAGTGAAAGTAGCATTTCTCAGTCACATTGCTAAGAGATTAATACACGTTCCTCCCCCCAGAGGAACTTGGTGGCACTGGATCTAGATATCTTAGCAAGGAGAACACTAATAAAAGGTGTAGGTTCACAGCTCTGCAAGGTCACTTCTCTCCAGACACAATACTGATAAAGCCCACTGCAGTTTTAGGTAGGTTTTGTTTTTTTACTGGTACAAATGCATTTGAGACCAGCCACCTGTTAAGAAGGTTATTTTGATCTTGTTTTAAATAAATGAGGATATGCCTTTTACAACTATAACCTTGACTCTGTATTCAAAATCATACTCACATTTGTTGATCTCTAGGTGGGCTTATATTATATATACCTATATATATATATATATATATATATACACACACACACCTCTCTATATATACACACACTTATATAAAGTATTATATAAGGTATAGTATAATACCTTATATATATAATGTATAATAATAATATAAGGTATAATATAATACGTTATATTCCTAGCTGGAAATATGTGGAAATAACTAACCTCTGGGGTGCACCAGTAAGCAAGTTGGAGGAGCTGAGACTCTTGCATCTTGACATAACCGGACTTTCTGAAAACTCTTGGAGGGACCTGGTTGGAAAAAAACAACAATGAAATGTGTTTACTCATGTGTTCCTCTGGGATGTCATTATGATTTTTTCCTAGAGTAAACATTTGCATTTTCTCTTGGTTTATAATAATACATAATAGCGATGCCTTAGAAGGAGAGTCGGCATGAGAGCATGGCAATACACTTATTCTCAAGAACAGTATGTTACAGTAGGTGTGAGAATGTAGGTGTGAGGTACCAGTAAATGCTAATTATAAAGGTGGCAGAATGGCTCACTTTTGACAGATGGTAAATCTTTGAGGAACCTTTAGGGAGCATGGTTTCTCTAGCCACCTACTTCAAAAGATATAATTGCTCTTAACAAAGTTTTGGAGAGACAAGGCACAATGATTTGCAGCAACAGGAGTGGCACCTGAGAACAATTCTGTGCTTTGCTTCTCATTGTGTATGTATCCACTAAACTGCAGATAAATAACTGCTTTTCAGAAACTTCTCACTGCTAAAGAAATTTCCTGCAGCATGGGAGTCTTTCTTGATATGTAAAACAACATGGTTTTGTTATACCCAAGCTTAACTTTACCTACACATACCTATCAAGGTCAGCAGCAAATGTTTATATACAGTGCATTGCATTGATATTTTTACCATTGCAGCTTATCCATCAGCTCACTTCTTAAACAGGCCGGGAGGTATATGCAGACATTTGAATCTACACTGTAGCTATCAATTTGGGGGAGGAAAAAAAATAAAGAAACTAAAATTCATTCTTTTGTCAAAAGGAAAAGGAAGCACAAATAATTTATAACAGAGCTATCTGGTGTCTGACACCTACCTCCTGTAGCTTTGCACCGTTATTTGTACCATTTCTGGTACCGACAGGGAATCTGCAAATGCAAAGAAATTAAAATAATTTATTTTCTTACCTTTTCTTCCCATCAAAACAACAATGCATCAAACTAGAGAAAAGACCAAAAGACTGATTCCATTATATAAGGAAACATTTTAACCCAAGTGCCCAAGTTGCAGAGCAATGCCGTTGTGGGAAGCTCAACGCAGAGTCTACGTTAGTCATAGGTAAATGCAACACATGTCAATAAGAAGGTGAAGATAGGTGTCTCTACATTTCATAAACCAGCAGCAGTACACTCCAAAACCCTTCTATTTAAAAGTAAGTAGTATCAATTGAGTTTTGGTAGCTGCTGCAGAGACATTGAAGATATACATAGAGCAGATATGGTGAAAAAAATTAACCTCTGCTTTTCTAGTAACCCCCCTCTCCCAGCAATTAAAATACACTGTTTTAAATACTCATTCCAGCAGAACTGGTACAACTTCTTTTGTGTATAACAGTTTTTCAAGTCTAATCCACTGAAATTTTTTGAGTATTCGGGAATATTGATTTCTCTAGGCTGTGCATAGAATCATAGAATAGTTAGGGTTGGAAAGGACCTTAAGATCATCAAGTTCCAACCCCGTTCCCATGGGCAGGGACACCTCACACTAAACCATATCACCCAAGGCCTTGTCCAACCTGGTCTTGAACACCACCAGGGGTGGAGCATTCATAACCTCCCTGGGCAACATATTCCAGTGCCTCACCACTGTAACAGGAAAGAATTTCCTCCTTAGATCCAACCTAAACTTCCCCTGTTTAAGTTTTAACCCATTACCCCTTGTCCTATCACTACAGTCCCTAATGAAGAGTCCCTCCCCAGCATCCCTATGCATCACGCTCTAAATGTGTTTGAGAGGAGTGAAACAGTTGCAAGACGCTTAGAGTTTCTGAAGGAGAAAATATTTGCCCAAGAACTAATAACATTGTTTAATGGACTCCAAGTGTGCTATATTTACGATGATGAAATGGGCATAAATAAGATGCAAATATACAGTACCTGTAGTTGTCACTTCCCTCTTAACACCACAATAACACACTTATTGACCTTCTGAAAGTTGGGGTAACATTAGCCTAGCAAGCAGCAGTAGACGTTCTTCCACTATCTGAAAGGGGGCTATAGGGTTGCTGGGGATGGACTATTCATTAGGGACTGTAGTGACAGGACAAGGGGTAACAGGTTAAAACTTAAACAGGGGAAGTTTAGACTGGATATAAGGAGGAAGTTCTTTACTGTTAGAGCGGTGAGGCACTGGAATGGGTTGCCCAGGGAGGTTATGAATGCTCCATCCCTGGTGGTGTTCAAGTCCAGGTTGGACAAAGCCTTGGGTGATACGGTTTAGTGTGAGGTGTCCCTGCCCATGGCAGGGGGGTTGGAACTGGGTGATCTTAAGGTCCTTTCCAACCCTAACTATTCTATGAGTCTATGATTCTGCATTCCACAAGATTAATATATTTTTATTTTCTAGCTTTTAAAATTTTCTTTTCCATTTAACAAAATTGTGTCAATAAAGAAGGAGAAAACATCCTTTCATGTTCTCTACTGGATTATTCTTCCCCTCATAAATTCTAACATAAGTTCCTTCTGGCTTACTCAGTGCAAGGATATCCATTCAAATTGAGAACATAAAGGTTACTGACATCCTGTAATTTGCCATGGTAACATAAATGAGACTTTCTAGCAGCAAACTGAGCATAATTTGAATAAGAATCAGCTACTTCTTGTGTACTATTTCCTACTCATGTGCCAACAGAAGATGTAGATTCACCATAAAAATGCAAGAGAATGTAAAAACTAAGATCTGAAAGTGAGAGTTAGTACAATTTTTCCCTAGTAGCACGTAGGCACTCCTCTCTGTAACGGAACATTATACCACAAACTGGCTGCTGCTGTGATTTTCTCAATACCTCATACTGTCAGGAGTGAACAAAAAAAAGGGTTGCCAAATAAAACTCCTAGTACTGTAAAACACTGGCCAGGGTGTTAAGTAAATAATTTAATGATGAGAAACCTGTTTTTTTTCAGGAGGTTTAGGAAGTAGCAGGTCAGCAAAAAGTCAAACATGCAGTACTTGATAGGATACAGTAAGTTGAGTAAGAGGCAGTAACTGGTGCGGCTGTACTCTCAAACCAGGCAAAGACAAGGTGTGAAACCTTAACTACCATTTGTAGGCTAAACTAAGTTGAATTGTCCTGTGTTGCTGTGGGTCAAGAACATGCCAATGTACTGTTACCAAGGCTAAGCCATCTAACCTGTTAAGTGGTAGTGAGCTGCTTAGGAGCCCTTGTGACTAGGACAAACTTTGCCCCTCCAGGTAGTGTCGCATGGACCATTTCAGTCATGGTTAGAGTCTCCACTTTCTTTAATGAGAAGACTCTCATAAGAAGTTCCTAATGAGGATAGAGCTTGACATTTTGAAATATTAGAGTTTGTTTTCTCCATATTTAAGAGGTCACAGAAATAGTAATGGGGAGGGTACGGTATTTACATTTCCTGATCTGTGTAAGTATTTTGTTCCTGACACAAGAAACACTGAATCTCATTACCAAACTGGAAGATACTTTGGGGGAAATAATGCCCTTTAGAAATCTGTCAGAAAACCTTATGAAAACAAACAAACAAACAGAAAATACTTTGTAAACCAACTGTGGTGCTAATTGGTGCTCTGTTTACTGCACATCTAAGTATATCTTTGCTTATGAATAATATATTTTGATAAGCAAAACATGGCCTCTGATACTTGAGGGAAGATAAGGCATTTTAGCCTCAGTAATCTCTGATTAACAAGAAACGAGATTAAATCACATATTGTTGAACTGCATCTTCTACTTGAGAACCCAATAAACAAAAAACCTGGATATGGAAGCACTGAAAATAATATTTTGGGCTTCCAAAAGCACTAAAAATGTGGAAATTTTCAGGAGGTGATTTGGTCTTCTGTATCCTTTCATGAAAAAAATGTTGAATTCACTACATTCACCAAATCAGAAAAGCAGATGAGAACAAGCAAGAGTTCTGCATTCAGGTCAGGCAGAATTGCAGTCACTTGAAACTCTTGTACCATAACTTCCAGACCACTGTGCAAACCCATCCTAGAGACCTTCACTCCTTCAGCAGAAGAAAATCAAATCATGCCAGTGGAGGTGAGCTTAAGCCTTTTCTATTGAAGATCTCATGGGAGAATTTTCTTGCTATGACACCAAAAGGAGGAAAAAATACACTGCTTATCCATGGGTACTACATTTTCCCAATAGCCCCCCTCCTGAGATCTGTGGTGTTTGACATTTACAGTTAAGAGTCTTTATTGGAAATTATAAATGGCATTCTCTCCTACCTGCCTACTCTTGGCCTTGCAGCTTATCCTCACCTATAGATAGACTGTAAGACAAAAACCATTAAAAAAAGCAAAGAAATTAATGGCCCCAAGAGAACTGCTACTCTTTCCTGAGAAGGGATGAAGTTAGAGAGACAGTTTGATGGGGCATTTAAGGCGTGGATGAGCTGGGTGGGATGACTGGTAGATAAACAGACCTATAGGCTCAACTTTCTTTTCTACCTGTGAACATCACCTACTTTCTCCTCAACATACCTTGTCCTCTGTTAAGAGATTCAAATCTTGAGTTAATTCTTGAAACAAAGCCGATGAAATTTTAGCATTCTGCGTAAGTCTGTCACTATTGAACTTAATTTTTACCAAGAATCTAATTAAATCAGCATGTCTGGGGCAGGGGTGAGAAAAATGGAAGCAAAAACCTTTTCAGTGCATCACGTAAGAAGCATCTTATCTGGATGATACTGTGTCTGCACATGGTGACATGGTAATTATTAATGACACCAGTCCTGCAATGCATGAGTTTGGCTGACTTGGCCTTATTCTGCTACTGGAAAATGCTGATATGACTGATGCAGACAATTACCATTACTTGTTTTGCTTCTCATCTTACTTTCAAACATCATTCTACTTTCTTTTTTCTTCTCTGGCAAAACACTGCGTCTAACTTAAATACACTTCAGCTGCGCTTGTTTATGCAGTGAGTGCATGAAGTCATACCTAAAAGTTTAGTGGAAATACCAGTCTTTCAGACTTCATTTCTATCCTGAAGAAGGACAAAAAGTTTAAAAATAGCAGAATTTTGGTGAACAAAACTCCTCTAAATTTAAGTAAGTTCAAGGTTAAACTGTATTTTCCTATAGTAGCACATTGCCTCAAGGCGTGGTAGCTCTGTGTAATCAGTTTGTGCCACAAATTATGTTCATGCGGCAGGGTATGTCTCCCCTGGGACACACAGCACTGCAAAATTCCCATGGTATAGCAAATAGCTTGATCAGAAAGCTATCCAGAAACATGATGGGAAATGCTTTCCTTCAAATAATACTCTGGAAATGAACAGAGCACTGAGATACATTTCTCACGAGGCACTAGGTCATAAATAAGACATACTGTTTCAGACTGAAGACTTGTGAAAGAGCGAAAGAAAAAGCTAATTTTTTTGTTGAAATCGTCCAGAGCAGGGGTCACAATTTTCCTACTGGAAATTTTATTATTACAGAAATTCTATTTCTTATTGGAGAAATCAGGCAACAAATAATAATGTGACTTAAACTTACAAAACACAGTAATTCAACCAGTGATTAATATTTTCCTCTATAGAGTCTTCTAAAACTGAAAGCAGAGATGTAATGTAAAGTGTTGCCAATAAATTCATAATGATTAACCACCCTATTGTGCTGTTTCTTTTTTGGTGGACCCTGGAATGCATGATAAATACTGGGAGAAGGCTCTAGTAATTTCCTCTACTAAGGTGAGGGCTTGTAAAGACTGAAAGAATGGGCTAACAACATCCTTTGTGCAGAGTATGGGATATGCAGCAAGAACTGTTTTTCCAAGTGCTTTGGCAGAGAGAATCCAGTCTTAACTACTTTCTTTGGCCTCTCAAAGTCCTTCCAGTAGGAGCATTGCAATTACACTATAATGGTAAGAAAATACCTGCTGCTGCATTTGGTCAAAGAGAAAAACTGCAAGGAAACAGAGCCTCCCATCGTCAGAGAAGTTGCCAGGAGAAATGCCTGTGCAACAGAAGGAGGTCAAAGAAAGAACAGTAGTATTTGGGGGGAATAAAGGAAGAGAGTGAGGCAGAAGGACCATTTTATCATGTTTGGATGACTTACAGTGGAGGAGATGCAATGACACACCATCTCAGATTTAGAAGTCAAAGTTTAGAGCTAGTTTCCTCGTTGAGTAATCCACCCACCTGATTCTCCTTTGCACAGCCATTTACAGCAGGACACAATGAGGGTAAGATGCTACAATGGGACTAAACTGTAAATGACAGAACATGAAGGGCAGTAAAGTTTGGCCCCAGATGTGGGAAGTACAGAGGTAACTTCCATTACATTTAGTTAGTGCTATCACTATTAATTTCCTGTGCGTAGACAGCAGAAGACATCCTTTTGATTTCAAATTAATTAACACATAATGATTAATCTGATAGGGTACATCTTTTCAGGCAAGAGTGTCCTCTTGATCACAGTTTGGGTGCCAGCACCACTCATCATCTGTGTGTTTTAATTTCTAACTGCTCTCCAGAAGCAAATTTAGCTCTGCAAATCTGTCGATGGAATGAATGACTGGCTGGTTTCCATGTTCTGTGTGTTTTGTTCATTTGATAACACACTGAGAACATCTTGGAAATATTTTTTTTTTAATAATTATTTAAGTCTTTCCCTTTCCCCCCTCTCCTCAAAGGAGGTTCTGAGGTAGGACTGAGGACTCTGCACCAGCAAGAAATCTGTACCAGCTCTTTACTACAGAATGCAAGAAATAAGAAGTTTCTAAAACCTGATCAACACATAAACAGTTCATGGCAGGTTCCCAGATAGATTCGTCTCACTTCAGTTGCCAGCATTTAACGAAACAATTCTCTTTGCCACCAACTACAGTAAAGTGTGTTTGTTTCACTGAAACAGGATCTTGAACTTCATCAGCTTCACACGATATTCCTCACACTGTATGATACCTGCTGGATAGTGCTGTTAATATTACTCTTCCCTTTCCATTTGTCAAGTGATTACCCAGTCACACTTGGTTAATATTTATCCACTTTCTTTAGACATTTATGAATGCAAACATCTCCATATCCATATCCAGGTGCATCAATACTTGAGTAGACAGCCTACAGTTAACTTTAATATTGAGAACTATACAACTAAACTTGCAATTGTACAGACATGAATTAGGAGCTAGCAGCGAGTCTGAGATACTTGGAGTTAGGAAAGCCTTTATGTTCCTAAGATATTCCATATCCATCCAGAAAAGTAACTAAGCATATTTACGGTGACTGGTCTGTTTAGCATGACAGCAGAACACTAAGTATGCTTATGACACATGGAATAAACAGGAGAAAAAAACCTGTTTTTTTTCAGATCTCATAGCTAGGATGAGAAGTTTTTCCATTATCAACTCTATGAATTCTTATATAGCTTCTGAATCAATCGCTACATTTAGGTAATCATTAAAAAAGAGAAAAAAATGGCAGGAATACAGCAAAGAAGATTCTTCATACTATTACTGTGGAGTCATTTATGTGATGTAGCTGTGTTCTGCATTCTGCATAAAAGCTATGCTTTTTATGGCAGCTCCATCAGTGAGAAAGCTCACAGTACCCATCTACCCATCTCTACTCCAGTAAATGAGAAGAAAGATACACCTAGCACGGTGCCCTCAGGCAGGAGTAATCATAATTTCTGGTGTGTAATATTCACTCTTTTCAGTTGCCATTTACAACAACAAACTACTGCTTGAACACTGAGGACTCCTGCTTTTACTGTCTTACTCAGAAACAAAAGAAGATGACAAAAGCCTTTTCAGTCTTTAAAATTAGGACTTGACTTTGGACAGCTAAATGAAGTTGAGGCCACCTTTCCCTACCTATCAAAGTATTAGTTGTTAACCACACTGAAATCGCAGCTACTGTAGGAAGGTATTAGTTTATTTTGTTGCAGCATGCCTACCATTTGTTTGCATTGAAAGAAAGGAAGGACACTCAGTTTGATATTCAAAGCACCCCTGCAACATCCATGTGAAAACTCACAAGGGAGTGAAGCCTTCCTGGAAGTGTTCCAGGTAGTGAAAGCTGTAATAACACTTCAAGCCTTCTCATATGTTGGTAAATATAAATTTGTGTAGGGTTCTGTCTGTGTGAAGTCTTTGGTAAAATTCCTGCTCAGAAGCTACAATATCAACTTGTTCTGCTCTTTTCAAAGTAGAAGTCCTGGGGCTGGTTGAGAAAATCAGTGTTGCTCATTGTGAATAACCCCATTGGAAGGTGAAGTTATCGTGCTGCATTTAACTCACTCTTAACTGAGAAGAAACATTACAGATAACAGTAAATAACAGTAGCTAAAGATGATTCCATTTGAAACTGCATAAGATTGTGCTGAAGAAGGAGAGAAAGAGTTGTGGTTTAAGCCTTCAAGATACATAAGAGAAAAATGCATAAATTTGGTGCACAAGGCAACAGAACAACAGTGAAAACAGAAACAACAACAATAAGTGCAGTACATGCAGTTTGAGTCTGACCCCAAAACATACCCTGGCTGGTCAAAAGAAGCTATGAAATACATAAAAGCTCTTTTAACTGGAATTCAACCCAGAAATTATAAATAAATAAATACATAAATATTTCCCACCTCATATCTTACATTTCATTTCTTTTCAGAATAGAAAAGAAAAAAAGAAAAAAAAGCTTTCTAAAATTTTGACCACTACAATGAAAAAATTGATAAGCTCCAACCTGTATGGCTCAATCCAGCTGCTAATATAATGGAATAGTTGAAGGCTGGTGCATCTGCGCCTCTGCGCTGCCACTGACTCAAAGTCTGCAAAACTGAAGGACAAGAACTGTTGTTCTTGGCTTAGCTTTGTACTCCTATTAGTTGTTGTCGTTTTTCTTTAAAGATACCAGGAAGGGCAAGGAAAGGCTGTTTGCCAAGAAGTGGTGCTTAAGTTGACAGTTCAGACAGATGATCGATTGCTAGCCTCAAAGCAGAAGCGCGGACAGGTCTAGATTTAAGAACAGGAACTCTAGAAATAAACGAGAAAGGGAGGGTGAAGGATTACAGGCAGTGATAACTCAATGTGAATTAGGGAAAGAAAGCAGAAGTTTCTTTGGTTGCTTCCATTCCCAAGAAATATATTGCTGTCCCTTTAATGCTGTATGCCTCTTTGGCACATATACCAAGGGAAGGATTACACTTTGCTAAGGAAGTAATGCAAACTTGTCTTCATTTGGTTACCATGGATATGGCATTACGTGAGACAAAGCCTACCATTTGCATTGCAAACGACTAGAAGCAGTGAAGGACACCCAACTTGATATTCTGGCCACAGAGTGTTCCAGGTTCTTCCTTATGACTGATCAAAAGTGAAACAACCACCGACTTTGGGTCTGTGCTTGGTACCAAGAGAGCAAGGCTAAGGGAAGTTGTGTTTCAGATGAAGAAGGAAGAGACAGAATCATGCACATCTGCAGGTGAAATGGCATTTCTTGTGAGAAATAGCTAGAAGATAGGTATGGTGGTCATTCAGCTTTACAGCTTTTCCACCTGGGGTACTAGAGCTGAATCAATATGCTGCTAATCTGGAAGAAGAGATTTTCACAAGCACTGGAATGGAATAGGAAGCAGCCAAATCTTCTGACGGCAAGTTTTTATCCAGTTAAGTGTCCTCTTCATTCTGCAGAAGCACTCTATAAAGTACCTTAATTTTATACAAAAGCCAGTTAAATGAGCAACATGAACAGTCCCCTAAGCAGACCTAGTGGGAACCAGCACAGTACAGTTAACAACAAAGAGGGAAATTGTCTTGTTTCCCTATAACAAATTGCAAATGATTGTTTGTCTATTAGATTGCTAATTGTCAGTAATTCTTAATTATTGCTTTAAGCTCTGCCAGATATATAGTTACACATCATTTTTATTTCAACTGACATACAATACCACAGCATGACCCTTCTTCTATGGATAGGAATAGCCAAATTACTATTGGTTTGAGTGAAAAAGTAACAGGATCCCAAATGATTAGCCCACATGCATGAATCAAGGGTTTCCTTTCCAAGGGATTTTAGGCATGGATTAACCAGGACAGTAGATCAGACGTTTGGCAAAAATAGTGTTTCCTCCCTTAGCACTGGACTAGGCACATCTCTGATAGGGCCAGGGCAGCTATATCATTCCAGGATACTCTTCTTGGCTTCCCAGTCCAGGAGAGTGGCCCACAACCAGTGACAGGGCACCAACACCATCCAAATAGCTTCCCTTTGATAAGGAGGGTGCAGCCAGATCTCCCTCTGTCCTTACACCACTGTTCCTTACGGGTACAGGGGGACAATTAGGATGACCGCCGCCATTCATTTGCTCATCAAAAGGTCCACTAAATAGTAGCTTTGCTCCAATATAATCCCACTCACATCAGTGGATTTTTTTCTGCTGGTGTCTGCAAGTGAGAGATGCATCAGCCCCAGAAGCTTTTTCCCTTTCTTCTAAAGCAAGCAGCTGGCACCGTGCCTAGCCCTGAATACGTTTCCTAACACCAATCACAGGGAGCTCAAGCCATGGTACCCCTGAGCAAACACTGTAAGCGAAGAGCATGGAGCCCTGCAGACGGTTTAAGTTGCCTCTTTGCTCTGGTGTCCCGCACTCTCACCTCCAGACTCCCTAGCGACACAGCAATATACACCCTTGAGACTGGTGCTAGAGGTGCACAGCAACATCATCACCAGACCAACACCTTCATGTACCCCGAGTATTATTTCAGGCATTTCCACCAACCATAATGCTAAGTTAACTACTGATGGGACAGATTTTGTCTGACCTTCCAGTGAATGTGCTGCTGGGGAAGGGGGTAAGTGATAACCACAGAAATGCTGCCTCAGTCTCGTTGGTGCACGCATAAGCACCATTGGACTTTATACACACACACTTCAGTCTTTTTCTATCCTTTCAGAGCACCTAGCAATGAAATAAAGCCCTGGGTCTACTATGTCCTCTTCCCTTTCTGCATCATCCCATGAAGCAGGTCAAGAAGAGAGAGGGAGAAGGGTGGGACTTGAAATGGGAGCAAATACCTGGACAGGCTGCTCTCTCTGCATGCTCTCTCTACAGCTCTCCACAGCTGCAAGTCCTCAGCCTCCCCTTGCAACCATGCAGAGTGGGGAGAAGTCATCCATGGGCTGCTCTTAGTGCACTTCAAGGTGCATCCTGCAGCAGCAACAGGAAAGAGTAGAAAATGCTGGTGCCAGCCTGTGTTGTCAGGCCAAAGCACATGTAAATGCAGACCATACGTAGGTCTTGAAATATAAACTTAGCATTTTGTTTATTTTCAGTTCCATCCTCCTGCCCTGCAGGAGTCTGTCCTTCCTTTGCAACAAAATTGATTAGGAAACAGTTTTCTTGGCATTTCTGTAAGAATAAGTACACAAGCCAGTGGAGATGTAGTGAGGCAGGCAGGATGCTAAGTGTCTCAAGTGACAAAATGACTTGGAGTGAATAATCTATGAAAAGCACTGTTTTCTTTAATGCCTGAAAATAAGCTAGGGCTCAGTCCACCAATCAATAGGCTGGTTTCCTCTGTGGATTCAGTCCTCTATTTTAGTAAAAACCATTTTGTTGCTTTAATTCTACTGATCCTGCACAACCACAACAGGGATGGGAAAAGCAGCATTCCCTGCCTCTCCACATCTGCACCACAGCAAATTCTATATGGTAATGCTGAATCTATAAATGGTAGATATCTTGCTATTTCCACTGGTTTCAAGGGAGTTAGACAGATACTCCAGAAGAGGTAAGCGACCTGCTGTTTTTATTCTTGGCATTGTCAGAGCTAGGAATAAGTCACCCTAACTCTTATGGACAAAGCTAAATTTACAGAACTGAAATTTGGAACATTTAGTTTTTATCTTCTCTGTAAAACTAGGATCTTTAAGTCATCAAGGATACAGAAATAGTGAAGTGTATTGGCCCTTGCAATGTCATTCTTACAAGGCTCATTTCAAAGTATAGCATCAGTGCAAACTATTTTTACTTTTCTTTTTTTGCTATTTATAGCCACACAGTTCAAGTGGAATCTGGTTTTCACCAACCTTTATCACCCTACCTCACCCTTATATATGAGCTCAAACTTTGTATTGGACAACAAGAGTTCAAAAATCCAGTACCAGATTTATGGGGTGGGTATGTATTTCATTCATATCTCAGTAACGTCCTAACACAGGGAAGCAAACACTGATTCTGCTTGCTTGCAGCTAGTCATACCCAGTTTTGCCGTGAGTCTGGATCAGATTCAGATAGCTTTAGGTTAGTTCACAAGCAGCCTGGCTGATTTCAGTCAGAAGCCAGCATGCTTAGTGTGTGTCAGTGTATTAGGAAAAAATAAGATGAAGCTGACCTCCTATCATGGTTAAAAATAGCGCATATTCACTAGAATTGCTCTGACAAGTGTTTAACTGTAATTGCTCCTTTCTCTCTCTCTTCAGTGCAAGGTTTCAACTAAATTTTTTTCATATGGAAGTAGGCAGGCTTTGCCCAGAATTGCTCCTGATTTAACTGAAAGTCACTTCAGGTCTAGTTCTGAGACTATAGAAGTGAATCAAAATCTACTCACTGAGAACTTGGTTTAGCCTTCATCCACATTGAACTCTGCTAGCCACCACAAGCATTAATTTCCTCCATCTGTGTACTGGCACAGGAAACCCTGAGGGCAAACATTTTCCTTTTCTTTGCATACCAGGGAAGGGCAGGTATGGACACTAAGTATATGTAATCTTTCATGTTATAGGCCAGATTTTATGTCCCTTAGTCAAACAGGAATTTTATTTAAACAACTGATAATCCTACCTCTCTGTCTGAGACAACAGAGAGTATAGTTGATAAGTCATTAACTTAATCTGGCTTTATATGGACCAATAAAACTACATGGCTTAACGTCTTTGATAGTGGTATCATTAGACACTGTATATTTAATTACTCAGTGACAAAAGCTTCAAGCTTTAGCTGCTGGTAATTACATTGTCCCATGAACACGGAGTATGAGACACAGTCATGCTGTGTTAGACACACCTTCCCTCTCTGTTGCATGTGTTTGCATGCAATGGAACAGTAGAAAAGGAATTTTGTCCTCAAAAGGTACTTCCCTTGGCATCACACTTCAGCCAGCAGTGGTTGTTTGCAGTAGGCTTTCAATAAGAATGAAGCTTCAATAAAGAATAAGGGACACAAAGCTTACCTGGGTGAGCCCTGGTACTGCAGATCATCCTCTAATGCCCCTTCAGAAGCCAGAGGAGGGACAGTGAGAGCCTCCAGCAGCTCTCCCATCTGAGCTCAACAACTCTGAAAAACTCTCACAGCTTTCCCTTTCCTAACAGAGAGAGGACAAACATTTGCCTAACCTGGGCTGATATTTTCATAATCCCCAACCATTCATGCAAAAAAGAAACCTGTTTTTCAAACACAATTTATCTATTCTGTGTCACATGTTTTCAAGAATAAATGTGTTCAGGAAGTTTTGTATTGTTGATTTGTTTCCTTAAAGCAATATGGGAAGTTGACATGGCACAGACTTTAGGGCCAACAATACCTCTCACTGCCCTGTTGATGCCACAAGCCTACCTATCTGTGGACAGTCTTGTACATAAATGGAAAACACTCTGGGCAATCCTGTTGGGGTAAGGCAGACACAGGCTGTTGTCCCAACAGCATCCAAAACTGCCTTAGGGTGGTCAATCCGTGCCATCCTCTACAGGTATGAAGGTCTGTATGTCTGCAAGAAGCCAGCCTGCCCAATTGTGTGTCAGGCACCTGAGGATGGTGATGACCACAGGGTTCATCAGAACACTAAAAATTCCTGGTACCTTCACGACCCATGGAAATGGCACAAAGTGCTCTCAAACATCAATTCCAAGAACAAACAATCCTTTAAAAAATCACAGGCCTACTAAGCAAAACAAACTCAGCACTTGAAAACTAATGAAAATAACAACGCAGCCAAAGCTTACAAAGCTGCTCTCATCACACTTGAAAGGAAAATAAGCAG